ATTTGGCGTGTAGGAACGGCCGTCGTCACAATGCAATGCCTTGTGAGCAATGTCAAATTGTGGGGAGGGCAGTATAATCAAACACAGTCCAAACTACTTTCTTTGAAATTGAGGAAGAAACATGACCTACGTATACCCAAAGTATTCATCCATGACCATGACTCTATTATCTTTAGCTTTCTTATTATTATTATTTTTTTTACTTTGGCCCCGTCTCGTAAACTAACGAATAAAGACTACCACACAATATAAAGTTTCCATGCCCATTTTCATTATAAAGACTTTTTTGTGTTGTTTTAAGACAAAGACCCCTAATAAAATTATCACCACCACTTGTTTTCTCACTGTGATAGATAAAACTTTTCTTCACCATCTCACAATCTCACCTTGCAAGTCATGACCCACCAATCCGTCCATATTGGAGAGGGCAGTATAATCAAACACAGTCCAGACTACTCTCTTTGAAATTGTGGAAGAAACATGACCTACTCAAACTATTCATCAATGACCATGACTAATAATCTTTATAAAAGAAAATCAAATATATATATATATATATATATATATATATATATTTGCTGATCTCTGTTTAGTCTCTCTCTTTAGTTTCTTTGTCATTTTAGAATCCTTATAGCATAAAATAAGAGAAGAAATCAGACTTACCCAACCGAAAAAGGGAAATAGAAGCACCTGAGTTGAGAAAGAGAGTAGAAATGTTCCATGAAACTAATACTTAGCTATAACTAACATTGACAGGCATAGATTGTTTAAATCAAGAGGTAAATAAGAAACACATCATTGTAAAATAATATGCTAATCAATGAATAGTATAAGAAATATAAATACTTGACAAACATAAGAACCTAAATATTGGTCGGTAATCTTTCTATTCGGTTGTAGGTCTTTTTAATTTATTTTGAAAGTGATGTATGAAATTATATCTATTGAGTTCATAAAATTACAATAATAAATTTAAATAAGAAGAAGAGAAATAAAAAGGATAAGAAGTGAATAGAAAGTTACACACTACATAATGTGCAAAAGAGAAGAATTTTAAGAAAATTAAAAAAAAAAAAAAAAATTAAAATGAGAGACTTTACCTGTCCCTAGTAATCCATGACTATGATCTGATTATCTTTAGCTTTACTTGTGGCAATGAATTAAGACTACCCCCACAAGATAAAGTTTCCAATGTCTGTTTTCATAACAAGGCCTTTGTTTCTTTGAGATCTAATAAAATTATTGTGGGCAAACTATAATGATTTTCTCTGAGGTTTGGACTTATTATAACTAAACTTGAGGTTTGTTATTTTGTTACAGTGTGACCCCCCTGAGTTTTTTTCCATTTTGAAATGACCTCACCTCCGTACAAAATATAATATATATATATATATTTTTATCAAAAAATTAGTTTGAAGTGACTAAAATGGCCATCAACAACGTAAAAAGACTCTATTACCCTTATAATATAAACAAATGACAACAAAATTCATGTTAAGTGGACCAAACTACCCTTAAACCATTGTCTCTTTCTCCGTCCGAACCCACCTATAACGACCTAAAAAGATACCAAAATAATAATAATAATAAAATATATTAAATTTCGGCATGACTTCCGTAGAAAAAGTCCCTCTACAACCTGTTGAAATATAGAAAAATGCAATGGCCTCACTGGCCTTAAAATTAATCTATCCTGTCCTAATGCAAGATGCAAATAATATACCACAATCCCAAAATGATTACACATACATATAAAAAGTCATGTTTCTCCATCTCATCCAAACATGGAACACACCTTAGTTACATCAAGTTACAGTCAATAACTTACAACATTATACGAATTAAACTAAAATTTCACAAAATAGTTAAAATTACATTTACAAAATATTAGAGTTCTAATACAAAAGATAGCAAAATAAAATAGGTCTCCAATCTCGCCTAAACTTGTGGTGGATCGTCGTCCGCCATCTCTTTTCCGTGTCCTAAAAAATGTTAAAAATGATGAGGTGAGTATAAGCTCAATAGAAAGTGTCTAAGACACACTTCTTATGACCCCATGAATCCATGCAAAGAATAGGTAAAAAGTAGGCGGGGTCATACCATAGGGAATGCACATCAGTAATCACAACAATAAGTATATAAATAAATGTCATCCAATCACAAATACACCAAATATACTAATGAAATGCAATGTCATGCCAATGTCGCTCCCTATTTTTCAAAACAATTTATTTTTACCGTTCCAAACCGTTAATGCAATCCGACCCATAGTACCTCTATGGTGCCACGGGGAAGGACTGGTTAGCTTTCCCTGACCAGATGGCACCTCCATGGCGTCATCTGGGCCTAGGTAGCTCAACCCCACTAGAGTCTCTCTCTAGTTCCCTTTAGAACACACTAACAACACGGACCACTAGGTGTCTCCTAGGTGTCAAGTTTTCACAAACACATTTCAAAATCATTTCCCCAAAATAGTTTTATTTGCTTTCAAAACATTTTCTCATTTTTCTTTCCCAATGGATGGATGAATGCTTCATGCTTTTAAATGCCAATTCAATACTAAAATTTCCACACATTCCATCTACATCATCATCACAATTTAATAAGAATTTCTAAACATTCATTTATTTTATTTTTTTAACCATAGCATCAAATTTTTTTTCAAAGCAATTAAAAAAAAAAAATCATAGGACATACAATATGTCAACATTAAGCATGCTCATTCACCGTAATGAAAATAGTCATGTATATAAACTCAAATAACACATGGAATACAATTATCATTTTGATTACATATAATTACAACAACCACAAATTAGGTAATAAAAAATTAGCATGCTTATGATTAAATTTAAGGGGAAAAATTCACAAAGGACCAAAGAAATTATAGATTTGAACACCTCTACCACAAATTAAAGAAAAACCCCCAAATCCCCAATTTCAAACCCTAATTTCGAAATCCCTAGGCTTGTCCAAATGGTGATTGGGTCCTATCAAATTGACGGCTTCTACGAGCTCTCCGACTTTGCTTCAAAGGGTTCTACCAAATTCCCAACAACACAACCTAGATTTAAGCTTGCGAGTGTGAGAAAAAGAAAAAATATAAATTAGAGAGGGAGTGAGTATATAAACTGACGGGGAGAAGAAAGAAAAATGTGGGTATGTGATGGCCCTTAGCCTATTTGATAGAGTGTAATATTCATGCAGGTCCCACAACTTCTTTGTTTTTATGTAAAAATCATTATTAACTTAACTTATATATATATATATATATAAGTTATGAACATTACACCACCTCCACTTATTCACTGCCACTATCACTTCTGCTAAATCCATATGGATCACCTAAATCAAATAATGTGTTTTGTGTGCAAAATTTACACACACACACACACACACACACACACATATATATATATATATATATATATATATAAAGATCAGACCAGTCCGATCCGAACCAGTCACGGTAGTCCGTCATCGCCGCTGAGCTTCCGAACCACTCACGGCAGTCCGTCATCGCCGCTGAGCTTCCGAACCACTCACGGTAGCCATCATCACGCTCAGATCCTTACTCGCCGTGAATTTGTCACCATCGCCCGCCGTCCATTACGGCCGAAACATCTGAGCCGCCGCAGCTGAGCCATCTTCATCCTCGTCGGTCCGTCACCGCCACTACACCAACCACTTAAGGAATTTGTGGTGGCACAGTTGTAGAGCCCTCATTGATCCACCACCACCATCACCGATTGTAATCGAAACCCAATACCACCATAATCGCGACATTGATTGCAGAGCCCTAATCAAACCCAACACCACCACAATCGTGACACCGATTGCAGAGCCCTAATCAAACCCACAACCACCACCACTGTAGTGTCTTAATCGAACCTACCACCACCACCACTACCATCACCAATTCATTCCGATTTCTTCTTCATCACTCGAGTTTGCCTAAATCAATGGAGTTTCAGTTCACTGATCTTCTTCATCACGGTTTGGGTTGAGCTCTATTTTAATCTTTGTTTCGCTGGAATCAATGGAGCGTCTAACCCTTGCCCTTGGCCGATTAGCTTGCCTTCAATTCGGTTTAACTTAATTGCTTACATTCAAAGCATTGTTGTACAATACGGAATTGCTGGCTGAGGAGATAGGCTTGAGATTGAATATTGGAGATGGGTTTTAGTTTTGAAGAAGAAAAAGAGGAGGAGATGGTGCTTGGTAGGGGCGGTGAAGTGATGGTGCTTAGTGGTGGTGGTATATATATATATAATTTTATACGCATATAACCCATATGTCACTTGCTATACAAACCCACTTTGGCGGTTATGGTGGCACTGTGGGTGGTGATGGTGGTGGAAGAAGTGGCCTTAGTAGTGTTATTGGTGGAGGCGAGAGAGAAGAAGAAGAAGAGGATAAATGTTATTGGGTAAAAGGGTAATTTGTTATTTCTAGGTATTTTAATTTTTTAATAATATGATAATGAGGGTAGATAAGTAAATTTACTGTAAAATCTAACATTAGGGGGTCTTTGCAACAAAGTGGCAAACCTGAGATTTAGTTGCAATTAGTTCAAACATCAGGGGAGGTCATTGTAGTTTGCCCAATTATTATCACCACTTGTTTCTCGCGTCGGACAAGACTTTTCTTCTGCTGCTTTGATGTTTCAAACCAACCTAAATATCCACTGTACACTTCTGGGCATTTTCGCTTAAGTTAGAATAGTGTGTGTGTGTGTGTGTGTGTGTGTGTGTGTGGAGTCAATGAGAGAAACTTCTTCATTGGCCCAGCATTTCTAGGCCGCCCATTTCTAATGTAAGTCTTGGGTCTCCTCTGAGTCTGCTTCTGTAAGTCTTCCATATCATTTTCCAAGTCAACTGGGAGTGTTTATGCTAAACTGGGCGTGAATAAACCAAAAACAAGAAGGGACACAATTAATTTGTTTTAAACAATATAATTGGATTCCTTCTTGTGGTTATTTTTAATTTTGGGAACTTCAAATGGCTATTGCCTACCTTTTTGCTTTCGTTTTTCTTTCCCATCTAGCGCTTATTCACTCAGCTGAAGATGATATCAAAAGCCTACCCACTTGCCCCCAGTCCTTCCTCTGCGGAAATCACAGTCCCATCAGCTTCCCTTTCACAAATACCTCGTATGGCCATTGCGGTATTGTGATAGATTGTGATCATCCAGTTCCAAAGGTCCAATTAGGAAACAAACACTGTTATGATGTTTTTAGCACAAGTGACAAATTTCTTTATATTCATGATCCGGCAGTTGAATATCACATATCTCACAATAGATGCGATGACACGTTCAAGAATTTAACTCTTCCCGACTTTGCTTTTGTTTCCTTCACCATCACACGCAATCTCACCTTCTTCAAGTGCAACAATACTACTCAAACAAAGTATACTAGTTACAACAAATGCACAGAAGGCTACTCAATTTACTACAAATATACAGAAAAGGATGATCATGAACCTGCACCTGATAGTCTTCTCCGTGAATGTTCAGCTATTCAGCTGCCAATACCATTGTGGCCTAATTCTCCAAAGCCCGGAGACCCATTTTCAATATTGAATGCAACTTTCGCTCTTGAATTGCATATATCCCAAGATTGTCTTGATTGTCAAAGTAGAGGAGCCCAATGCCTAAATGTCCATCAAGAGTTTCAATGTCATGAGAAGGCGAAAGGTACGAGTGTTTCTATATATATATATATATATATGCTACTGTTTCTGTTTTAAGTAATCCGCACAAACTAGTTCAAGATCTTCAAACAATAGGACTCTCTTTTACACCCTTAATTGGTTCTTTACACCTAATTCCGTGTGCATAGCCTAAACCCATGTAATTGTGAAAAAGTTGTAATTGAATCACTTTGGATAGATATTGAAATCACATGGCCGTCAAAAATTATAATCAATCTTTTCTTGTTATATGGTTACATATTTTGTAGATGAACGCACGTAAAACCAATGCCCAAAAACAATATAATAATAATAAATAAAAATACGGCCTCCTAAAAACTAAAACATTAATAATTCAGTTTGTTGTACTTGTGCTTGCATTGGTACATTTGACTCTTTTTTTCGTAGGCTTTATGGGATGGGTGTAACAATATTCACTTCTCTTTTCGTCACTCTATTTGAGAGCATTTCCAAAGGGTCTTTAAAAGTCAAAATATAGCAGGTGGATGAAAATAATACATTTTAATAGACTCTCAAAGACCTCTCATATTTTGAAATCATCAAAACTAGTATCATTAGCATATTTGAGATTTGAAGCTCTCTTTCAAGATTAATGACATTGAAATAGAAATCTGAAGTTACCACGGACTTTAATATTGTTCACAAAGATGGTAAGATTGAAACTTGGCCCCATTGTCTTTTTCCCCTCTTAATTATTACACACAATATACATCCAATTACATGCATTTCATGCACAATCCATCACCCTTTTACTATTTTAGACTTTTGAATTGACTCCAATCTCGTTTAATTCTAGTCATTGAATAATTGAAACTTTGACCAATAACTAATTTCCTTTCTTTCAGTTATGTAAAGTGTCTATTAATTGCAAAACCTAGTTTTTCCATGCATAAAATAAAAATTCCAATAAGAGGGCTACAACCTTCTCGACAACCCAATTTTTTTTTTTTTTTTTAGGCGTTGCACTTAGGAGTGACAAAATGGGCCATGACCCACCAACCCATCCATATTCGCCCGCTTTAAAATGAATTTGGGTGAATCATTTTAAAATATAAGTCAAAATGATATGAGCATTTTTACACACACACACACATATATGCTACTGTTTCTGCATTAAGTAATCCACACAAACTAGATCAAGATCTTCAATACCACAATAGGTTCTCCTCTGAGTCTGCCTCTGCAACTCTTCCATATCATTTTCCAAGTCAACATCTTAAGTTTTTTTTCCCTGAATGTCAACTTTTTTTAAACAATAGAATTTGATTCTTCCTCTTGTCGTTCTTCTCCTTTGTAGTTAATTTTGATACTGTACAATTGGGAACTTGGAATGTTTATTGCCACTCTCCTAGCTTTCTTCTTTCTCTCTCGTCTAGTAGTGATTCTTCTTCACTCAGTTGAAGATGACTATAAACTTTCTTGCCCACCGTCTCTCGAATGCAAAAAAATTGGCTCCTTCGGCTTCCCTTTCACCAATAGCACGCATCCCCAACGCGGGCTCGTGTAGATAAGTGTGATGAAGCTCTAATAGTCCAACTGATGAAGGGAGAATGGTATTTTGTTAGAAGAATAAATCATTGAAATTCATGATGAAGAGCTTCAGCATCACTTTTTCAACAAAAACTGCCATAATACGTTCAAGAATTTAACTCTTCCCAAGCATCCTTTCATTTCCTTCAGGATCACATACAATCACACATTCTGCATTTCTATGCCGACCATTTATATATATATATGCTACTGTTTCTGCATTAAGTAATCCACACGAACTAGGTTAATTGTGTATGCTAATATTTCTGAATCAATTCACACAAACCAATTCAAAATCTTCAATGAAAACAACTCGCAATCCACACCAATTGGTTCCTTGCCTCGGCAGAACTTAATTGTTATTTATCATCTATGTTTAACTTAATGTTTCAAGATTATGCAGCTACACTATTTTGGCTTCACAATTAGATTACAGAGATCAGTTTTCCTTTCATTCGGTGCAATGAGTTCCTTTCTATTTTTATTCTTCTGTAGCTTTTATTTTGTAGGCCAGGAATGTAAGAAATTCAGCCAGATGAAAGAATCTCATCTTCATCATCAACAATAATCTTTTTTTTAGCAGAGAACATACATTGCATGACTGAAAACATAGATCAAAAGATGAAACTCAATCAATCAAACAGATATTTTAATGCAATCAAGTGCCATCTATTTGACAGTCAATCATTATTTTTCCTTCTATTCTTTATTTATTTTCCACTTTAATGATATGATAATTGTGACATCACTAACATTGTTCTGTATGGCACTGATTGCAGTAAAAAGAAAGTACATGTTGATAACAACACTAGGAACAGGTAATATACCTCCTTAATTAATTGATATTTGTAATAGATTGTGCATGATTTATATAACTTGGTGAAGAAGGTTTTATTGGGTAATCCATTCACTAAACTAAAATCAGCAAACCTATTACTTGTTTTGATTCTTTCGAAGAAAAACATAAATAATACAGCCCTCACTTTATATATAAGATTCATGCGCCCAGTTGGCTTCACCTCATTTTATCGATCACAGGCATTTCAACAGCTATACTGCTAGTAGCAGTAATCCTACTCTGTTGCTTCCGGAGAAAATGCTCATTAGTTACATCCATGATCTTTTGGAAGAAGGGAAGAGAGAACATCAACAGATTGAGCTCTTTCTAAAGAACTGCGGATCCCTTGCCCCAAAAAGATACAGCTATTCAGATGTTAAGAAAATGACCAATTCTTTTGCCTACAAACTAGGTTAAGGAGGATATGGAGGTGTATACAAGGGAAAGCTAAAAAATGGTCGTTTGGTGGCAGTGAAGGTTTTGACTGATTCAAAAGGCAACGGGGAAGATTTTACTAACGGGGTTGCAAGCATTAGTAGGACTTCACATGTTAATGTTGTCACCCTTGTGGGTTTTTGTTTTGAGGGCATCAAAAGAGCTCTCATCTATGAGTTTATGCCTAATGGATCTCTTGAGAAGTTCATATATGATGAAAGTTCCTCAATAAAACGTCAATTAGGGTCGGAAACATTATATCAAATTGCAGTTGGCATTGCTCTACTTGCACTTAGGTTGCAACACAAGAATTTTGCACTTTGACATAAAGCCTCATAACATTCTTCTAGATGAAGACTTTTGCCCAAAGATCGCTGATTTCGGTCTTTCGAAACTATTCCCAAAGAAGGAGAGTATCATATCAACGTTGGACGCAAGAGGGACAGTTGGGTATATTGCTCCTGAAGTATTTTCAAGAAGTTTCGGAGTAGTATCTCACAAGTTAGATGTCTATAGTTATGGAATGATGGTTTTAGAGATTGTTGGAGGGAGAAAGAATATTGATGTTGGAGTTGATCATACCAGTGAAATATATTTTCCCCATTGGTTATACAAGCGTGTGGAGCTAGATGACGATTTGGGATTGTATGGTCTAATGAATGAAGAGCAAAATGAAAAAGCAAGGAAGATGATAATAGTTGGCTTATGGTGCATACAAACTGACCCCTCAAATAGGCCATCCATAAATAAGGTGATTGAAATGTTAGAAGGGAGCCTAGAGTCCTTGCAAATCCCACCCAAGCCATTCTTGTCTTCTCCCCGGCCCAAGAACGCCCTCAGATTCTTCAACCATACAAGTATTGTAATGTTGTTCTTTAATTATGTAATCTTAAGTGCATCATCATTTTTGATCTTACTTTGTATTGGTTTTCATCAAGTGATTTAATGAACTCAATCAAATCATTTGATTTCATTTGGCTCAATTGAATGAGAATCTTATGTCTCAAATAAGGAAAAGTTGTCTCAAGTTCAATATTTTAAGTAATAGTGTTTTCCTTCATTTTCTCAACCGTAAAGTGTACCAGTAAGAATTCATATGCTTTCAATTTTACCATATCAGAAAAAACAAGAACTCTTTATAATACTTAATCCTCACAAAAAAAAGATCACAGAGCAGTTAATTCAAGCATAGATGTGTTTGGGAGCTAAACATACCTCAGCAATGCAGTTGGTTGTGGAGAAAAGTTCTGCAACTCAGAGCTGTAGTTAGACCACTAATCGGCACTGAATAATTGGCTATCAACAGGACCAACCAGTCTTTCTCAGAGTCATTTATCCATTCATAACTCTCCTGTTGATCCCAAAGCAACTTTAAGAGAATTCATTTTAGGCAAGTCTTTGTGCTTTCCACCTTACATCACTTCCCTAGTTCCTGAGCTTCAAACCATTCCACCACCCTCTATTGACCGCCCAGAGTCTGTGCTCCGGACCATATCCCTCGTTCAATTGGGCTTCTCCGGTGTGGAGCTTCCCCATTATTCCCCGCCAATCTTTCATTCTCACAGTTTTTATTTGCCAATGTTGCTGAAAGTCATGACCACATTTTCATTCACTGCCCATACTCAAAGTTCATTTGGCAAAGATTCATAAAAAATGTGGATACCACACACTCCCATATTCATGGAATGACTTCCTTAACATGGAAGTGCTTACCTTGGCGGGCTTTGTGTATCATGTTTGGATGGAGAGAAATAACAGAATCTTCAGAAATAGCCAAGCTTTGTGTATCATTTTTGGATAGAGAATAACAACAGAATCTTCAGAAATAAATCTGCTCATCCGTCCAGACATGGCTTGCAATCGTGAACAGTGTTCGATTACCATTGTTCTAAGTGAATTTGGGTAAATGGTCATACGCAGAAACTATTGGAAGTCTGTCTACAAGTTCCCACCTTCCTACCTTGCGATTTGTGGGTGCTCAATCTAGGGAGGTAGATTACAATTTTTAATATATAGATAGAATTTAAGGACTTTAATATACAGCTACAGTCAGCTGCCATTTTAGAAATATATTTGTGTTTTTTCAAATGTTATGATGATGGCAGCAGTATTGGTGGTCACGTTTCAAATTTTTATTTTTATTTTTATTTCCTTCTCTGAAGAAACGTTAGAAAGGGAGAGACTTATACATGGAGCATATATGGAAGAGGATATTACTGCAAATGCATATGAAGGGAGAGGACTGATTTTGAAGATTGGTTTTTAGCGAGAGAAAATATTGTAACTAAATCACTATCATTTTTTTTGGGATGAAAATCAGTTGCAGTCTCCTCTATGCGACAAACTTCCCTACTTATCATTTATGTCAACAATGATGTTAATAAAAAAAACTTTAATTGCATTCCTTGTAATTCAGATTTGATCTCATGGAAAAAACCACTAAATTAGATTATATTAAGAAAAGGAAAAATTGTAATTGAATCATTCCATTGTGTAACAATTGGATTAGGCTGAGGATTTTATTGTGTAATCACTCTGTTTTGAACTTTTGGAAAACATGATATGGCATCCACTAATTTTTTATGCGGCAAAATAGCCTAAAATCACTCCATATTACCATATATAAAAATATTATGTGTATATATGTGGAAAACTTGGTCTATGAAGAAGCCACATATGATTTGAGATGCACATCTCGAAAGTGTAGCATTAAAAATGTATATGCTTTAAATATGACCATATCTCGAAATTGGAAAACCAACAAGTACTCTTTCTAATACTTATAATCCTCACACAAAAAGATCAAAGCATTTTGGCAAAATAATTAACGAAGCATGGATGTGTTTGGGAGCTAAACATACCTCAGCAGTGCAGTTGGATGTTGAGAAAGCTTCTGCAATTCAGTCTTTCTCACAGTCATCCATTCAGAAACTCTCTTGTTGACCCCGATGCCACTGTAAGAGAATTCATTTCACACAATTCTTGGAGATTTCCACCTTCCATCACTTCCCAAACTATGTAATGTGCACTTAAGTACATCTTTTGTTACTCTTAGAATGTGTTTGTAATGAGGCCAAGGGCCAAAGATACTTACGTGATATGTATGCTAATTTTAACTTCATTGTTGCCTATGGAAGATATGTGATTTAATGCATTGAAGGGTCATATTTTGTAAATGACATGCCATGAGGCCGTAGGCCATTGTAGTACGTCTATTTTATCTTATTACGTATGCTTACATGTTCACTTTGGCACACAATACCATTCTTGATGAAATAAAAAAAAACTTAAAGTTGCATTTCCTTAAGTTTTTACCCTTCTCTGATCCAGGGGTATTTCGGGTATTTCACAATGTATTTTTTTTTTTTTTTTGTTTTCGTCCGTGCAGCTGGATAGAAAACTCGATTTCCCAAAAAATGTCGTCTTGGTCTCGGAAATCCCGTGCCAAGTTTATTTTTCTGGTTTATGCCATTTTCTTTAAAACTTGAGATTTTAGTACTTAGTACTATTCATCGACTTTTTTTTTCTAAAAATGTGTCGATCGATCTGAAACTTCCAGGGGTTTTGTAGGTGTATTTTAAGGTTGCATTTTCAATTTAGACAATTTAAAAACCTCCCGAAGCCCCATTTCCTTTCCTTGGGCAGCAGCTCGGAAAGATTTTAACCCTCTTGACCTGATTTTCTTGAGGGCATTCTGGGCATTTCACAGTTCATTATTTTGATTTCCATCCGCACAGTCAGGTAGAAAACTTGATTTGGGGGGGGGGGGGGGGGGAGATTTCTTCTTTGTGTTTTTCTAGAAAAAATCGTTTCAGGGCCGTTTTAAGCCTCAGTTTTGAAAAATCAGAAAAAGACTCTCGTTGTCAACTGCGTTATGCTCATGGGCACCGGTGGGCGCGCGACATCGTTTTTGTTTTTGACCTTTCTCCCTCGTCTAGACTCCAAATCGAGTGAACTTTTTTTTAACTTTACTAATTTTTCGTCGTCTATCCAACGACGTGCTCGGTTATACTCAGATATTCCTAGATAATTACCAGTTTACCCTTTTAGCCTTAAATGCTTGTTTTTCTTCGTCTTACCATTTATCCTTCGTCCGGACTCTGAATCATGCGATTCTTAAGTCCTTCTTGATTAGTTTATTGTTGTCTTTCCAGAGGTGTGCTCAGTGATACCCGAATCCATATTTTTAGAAAATTATCAGTTTGCCCTTAGGGGCTTATTTGTCATATTTACGATCTTTTGCTTTCGTATCAGTTCTCATTGAGTTCCATGACCTCATGGAAGGTCACTTTGAC